GATGTTCACATAAAGCTAGGGGCCCTTGGAGGCCAGAGGCATTCAACCCCCCTCCCCCGAGGACGACCCCCCCCCGCCCGATTTGGAGTTACAGACAGTTGTGAGCCACCTGATGTGGGTGCTGGGAATTGAACTTGGATTCTCTCTAAGAATGCTCTTAACCTTAGAACCATCTCTACAGCCTCAGCAATCCTATTAATTCTTTAATCACCTCCCATGCTACTATCCAGGCAGAAACATTTTCTTCTTCTGAATACTTTCTTCAGTATCTTTCTTACGATTTCTCACAAGATCTTCTAGTGTGCACTGTGATTATGACCTCATATCCTCCTCCTGGACCACAGGCTTCCAGAGGGAAGAGGAGATATCCTAGTCTGGCTTACTGTCAGATTTTTTCCACAGCACACCATGGCACTCTGAAAGGGTCTGGAACAAACAAATGTAAATCTCCTTGGCAAGGCTATGAATTCTACTAGTTAAAAATAATTATAAGACAGCCTCTGTAGAAATAGGAGGTGGCTTAAAATGAACGTGAAGTGTTATAGCTCCCAATGTGCTAAAAACATTTTATTTACTCCTTGTATCAGAAGGTTAGATTTTATTCTTATTTCACTCTGATCTGGCTCTTGCTTTTTCTTTCTTTCTTTCTTTCTTTCTTTCTTTCTTTCTTTCTTTCTTTCTTTCTCTCTCTCTCTTTCTTTCTTTCTCTCTCTCCCTCTCCTTCCTTCCTTTTTTCCCTCCCTCCTTCTTTCTTCTTTCTTTCTTTAATGATAGATACACAGACAATTGTCTTTGTAGGACTGAAACAAAAGGATGAAGATTTGGAAGGGACACAAATATAGAACTGCCATTCTTCTTTTTAATCTAAAGCAATTTCCATGAGGATAAACAACTTTCTTTTTAACATAGCAATAGTATAAATAACAGTTGAAGTCTTGATGTCCCAGCAGTATGATGCATAAGGCAGTACCAGTGTTAGAGACTTCTGGCTGGGAGAAATGATTGTTTACACACTACTTATTGCCTAACAAATTAGCTTTAGTTAGCTATCCAAGAAGCTGAAATAGTGGATTCAGAAAGATAAAGTATGTCAGCATGTACATTAAAAAATCTCCATGATTATAAGCCATAGTTGAGAGAATTGAAAAAAAAGCAAGTTAGAAAAAACAGTTTATTAAGTAATATCATATAAATAACTTGTTACAAAAATTGATTTGCAAAAGGCATATTTACTCTGAGAAATCACTATTTTAAGTTGCATTCTTTTCAAATTTATAAGACTAACAAAAGAAAACAAAATAAAAGAAGCCATTTCAAGGAGTGCATTGCCTGCCATTTGACTACAACATAAGCCCCAGCCACACTGAGCTAAAAGCTAATTATTTGAACTTCGTTCTTCTAATACAGAAAACTTTCCCACATAAACTAATTAAGCTATGAGGATCTGCCTAACTGGACATGTGGACGGAAGCCGGACTGGATTGTTTTCCATCCAGCTTTTCATTGCTGAAGATGTGGACGAGACTGAAAAAACAGCATAAATGGAACATCCAGCCAGTAAATCTTCAAGGGTGACATCAGCTTCGATTTATACTTGGAAGTATTTTTTAATTAAGTACAATCAATACCAAAAAACTTTGATTTTCTTGGTTTAAAATCACAAATCACAGTAGGAGAGTGCCAAATTGCCTTAGCTTGATATTACTGAAGACACATATAGCATTTATCATGAGGCCTATTCTGATGTAGTTTACTTTCAAAGCAATGAAAATAATCAGAAACAGAACAGTACAGCGGGTTTGAAGAGTTCTTGTGTTTCTTCTTAGCAGATCCATTATACATTTGCTACACAAGCATTCCTGTGAATGCCTAGTAATATATTTCTATACATTTGATTCTTTAATAAACACTAAACTAAAAGATCATAGGAAACTAAAAGCATATAGAAGGTGCCTCCAGATATATTTACATAAATAGCATAGTCTCACAGGAAAGACCAAAATCTCATTACCGTGGAATGCTTTTTCTCCAACACTGGGTCCATGCCTCGTTTGTCAAATTAGCCCCATTTGACGGGAAATTTGAATTTGTGGTCCATGAGTTTTTTAAAAAATGGAATTAAGCAACTTGTAAAAGCTCCTTTGAAATTAATCTGATAACCCAGTGGCTCTTCGGCTAAGTGCCTCAGTCCTGTCTGAAATACAGTGGGTAATAGCCTTTGTTTCCACCTGACCTCCTTTCATCTCCTGACTCTGTCAGGCTAACATTCCCTCCAAATTAAAAAAAATGAAAATGCATCATAAATAAGGTATTACAAAATGAGGAGTAGATTAAAGATTGTCTCAGCAATGCTTAAATTAAATCGATGATGCAGAGACCATAAACTTCTGGCTTTAAAAATGAGCTATTTCTTTATTAACTTTTAACAAGTGTGTGAGCCAATGTATTTGCTTTCTAAGAGGATCTTGCTCTTCACATTAAATATGGTCAGGGTCTGGTATTTTTAGCAGAGAATTATCCCTTTTGAAAATTATTCCATAAAGATGTCAAAGGAATATTTAAAATGTTGCAATCGTAATATCCATGGAACTTTAAGGAGACTATCATGTAATTCTGCTTTCTCTAGAAAAGAAAGCTGCTTATCAGAGCTTAGGAAACAGTTCACCTGAAGACTCACACACCAAGCATTAATCTTTCTGCTCTTCTATAATCTGATAAAGAAGGTTAGGTTTTGATATTAATTTAAATATAGTGGTCTGGTTGGATTTTGAATCTCCTGCCACAATGTGACAATTCAGAAAGGATTTCATCTAGATAAAGTATAAAAATTAAACTCACACTAAAATGATCCTTTTCAGAGGATGCCCTTCAAAATAGTGGAGATCACGACCATTTAGAATGTTCTTCCAAAGTAGTTACTCCACTTCAAAACTAGCCACCAGGGTTAAGAGAATGTATTTGGTGATTGTGCTTCTGGGGGAGAAGGATTTAGCTGATAGGGACAAGCACCTCATTTAAATATTTAGTTTTCACCCCAAAATCAACTTGTTCTCTCTTTTGAACTATGTATTTTTATGATACTCAGGTATACAGACTCTAAGAATTCCCATGGGCAGTTTGCACATCATTCTCCCTCTGAAATACTCATTTTAGGGCCTGGAGAGATGGCTCAGCAGTTAAGAACACTGGTTGTTCTTGCAGAAGACCTGGGTTTGAATCCCAGCACCCATATGGCAGCTAACAACTGTCCTAATTCTAGTTCCAGGGGATCCAACAGCTTTGTCTATCCTCCACGGGCATTGCACGACATGGGTGCACTTACCTACATGCAGGCAAGACATGCATACACATAAAATAAAAAATAATAAATATCCAGGTGTGGTGGCACTTGCCTTTAATCCCAGGACTCAGGAGTCAGAGGCAGGTGGATCTCTGTGAGTTCAAGGCCAACCTGGTCTACA